GAAGAGTCCATCCACCTCCCCTCCCCTGATGCCTTTTAAAAGCTGTTTACTGGGGGGGGGGGGAGGGTTTAAAATACTTTGGCATTGCCATGAAATGCTCATGAGTAAAACTGCCTTTACCTTTTTGGCCACTTTGCTATATCTGCAACCACAGTGCTTGTCTGGAGTAGGGGAGGGTACTTAAACTGTACGTGTGCCTCTGGGTAAGATAAGGTACAACACGTCCATGCCATAAAGATGCGCTGGGTTTTTTTTTTTTTAATTACTTATGAGAGGTGTAACGAGGTTTATTTCCTTCAGGTGTCCTTCAGCACTAAAATGCTGCAAGCTAACACTGAGCATGTGATATGCATACATTTCATATACATTATATCTAACCGATTACTATACTTGAAGATTGTCCTTTTCACTGAATAGGGGCTGTACAGTCTGTACAGCTCATTTTCTTCTTGTTTTCTTAGGAAAACTGGGAAAGCACCTGGAATCATTTCTGTAATAAAACAAATTTCTCTAAGTAGACTTAAGTATAATTTGGCCATAACTTGAGCTAACCATGGGATAGGAGCTAACCGGGGGGGAACAATTCCAAAATCTGCATAAATTTTTTTAGTTTTTGATTCAATATATGCAATTTTCACTGCTATAAGTGACCATAGGTCCAAACAATCATAACATTTTAGGCTGTTTGGTTTCAAAAATGTGTCACTGATGCAGCACTTAATTTAATCACATAATGCCACTTGCAGTAAGGTTTCTGTTCCTCATTTATCCTAAAATATTTTATATGCTTTTAGGTACTAATTACTATTGTGGCCTTTTGACTTGCTCTATCATACAGATATGTGACAAAATACAGTAAGGCATGAGTTACTATGAAAAGGGCATGATTTCATTCACAACTATAGATTATAAAATGTGTCTATGACAACAAAATGGTAAACATCAGTGAAATATTACACTCTACAGATGAAAGATTTATGGAGAATATTTTGACTGATTTATTGGCCAAATTCAAAATTACTGATCTGGATTTGTTTTAAATGAAGTTTAATTTTAAAAAAAAATACACACACTACATTCTGTATGCAAAGAGTAAGGTTATGAGAAAGTCATTTTGATTTTCATATGCGTCCTCATGTTTTTGTTGACTAAAGGTGGAAAAGCCATTGTATTGATAAGGAACACTGACAGCTTTGACTTATTTGATTTTAATTTTAATTTGTGTAATTGTATAAGGTTAGACAGAACTTTTACTGCCTAGTTTGGCTGAACTGTAACTTTGTACAGATTAATGACGGAGGAAGATGGGTTAAGATGTGAATCAGGTTTTCCAATAATATAGCAAACATTTTCTTGAACTACTGACTATATTTATAGATCTATTATTATTAGTGGTAACAAGACAATACGTCTGTAAGTTTACATTTTTTAATTGAAGAGAATGGAAGCATGTTTGAGAATGGGTGGTTGGAGAAGGTATTTACAGGTCGGGTGTTGAGTGTGACAGAATTTTAAACTTGAGGTTCACAAGGGTAGGTGTGTGGTTTAAACGGAAGCAGTTGTATTTTTAGGTGCCATTATAAGACTAGATTACCAGAGTATTGTGGGAAATGGGATACCTTTCTGAGTACCACTGCAGTTGCTAAAACCATTCAGTCTGGCTTTATTTTGTGTAAATAATCCTTCCAAAATCTGTCTATTTATAAGGTTTAAGAAGGGAAACCCATGTATAGACTGTGATTAATTGTCTGCATTGTACTTTATGATGTAAATGTGTTTAAAAAACGGTGACACTTTCAAAGGCCTCCCGTTACTGTTATTTTGTGTATTTTGCGTTAAAGACAAATATGGTGGAGAAGCTGAAAACACACACAAAAAAAAATCTTTGTATACGCATTCTGAAAGGTACTTTCTTGTATATATTGTGTTAGCATGAATAAACTGTGATGTGGATTTTAGATGTAAATACACACATTTTTTTCCTACTCACTTAACCGCGTTGATGTGGAATTCATTAATAATGCCTAACATTAAAAATTATGTTTTACCGACTCATTTGTGCCGTGTATTATTGGAATTTGTTTATTGCTATCTGGTTATAAAATTTAATTAAATTTGACAGGATAAAAAGTACCAAAAAACTAATTACACAATTGGTATATTGATCAACTATTGTGTTTCCTGTTATCTAGTGTGCAGGAATGAACATTAAATTACTTTTACTTGTCACAATTATTAAACAATGGGTAATATTTCTTAATTACATTTCAAATGCATTTATCAATTTAAAAACTTTAAATGGGATAAAGCCTCTATTTTTGTAATAATGGAAATGTAATTTAAACAGAGTAATTATTTAAACGGGAAAATGAATAGATTATATAGGATACAATCCATTCGAAGGCTAGCATCATACACTACAGTTAAAACTTTCTAATTTCATTATGGACTGTCTTTATTGTTACTTAGAAAACACAACCTATCAACCTAGACCATTTGCAAGCACAAATCAAATTTACAGTATGTGGATGAAAGTACTGGGACACAAGTTCTTAATCATTGAATTTAGGTGTTTCATTCAGACCCATTGCCACAGGTCCATGAAATCAAGCACCCAGCCATGCAGTCTGGTTTACAAACATTTGTGAAGGAACTGGTCATTCTGAAGAGCTCAGTGAATTCAAGCATTGCAATAAGTCAGTTTGTGAAATTTCTTCTGTGCTAGATATTCCACGATCAATTGAGGGCTGGTATTATCGCAGAGTTTGGTGGAGGAGGGACAAGGGTATGGAGTTGTTTTCCAGTGAAGGAAACTCTTAATGTTTCAGCATACCAAGACATTTCGGATGATTCTGTACTTCTGATTTTGTTGGAACATTTTGGGAAGGCCCTTCTCTGTTCCAGCATGACTGGTTCCCAGTGCACAAAGCAAGGTCCATAAAGACATGGTGAGTCTGATATGTGGAAGAACTTGACTGGCCCGCACAGAGCACTGACCTCAACCCCATCTAACACCTTTGGGATGAAGTAGAACAGAGATTGTGAGGCAGGTCTTCACATCCAACATCAGTGCCTGACCTCACAAATGCTCTTCTCGATTAATTGGCAAAAACTCCCAAAGATACACTCCAGAATCTTGTAGAAAGCCTTCCCAGAAGAGTGGCAGCTAATAGAGCTCCAAAGGGGTGACCATATTGATGCTCAGTGGCCTTGCTTGAGATTTTGGGTCCCATGAAAGCATATCTTATTGGGACCCCCAGTCCAGACAAACCAGTTATTTTCCAAATTTTCTAGGCCCCCTGTCACTCAGGGGCCCTTGGAAGTGTCCTAACTTTCCCCCACCTTACGGCGCCCCTGTTGAATCATAATCAGAATCATAATATCTGTATTGTCATTGTAATGGGTATCAAATTAATTCAGTACAATTCAAAAACTTTGACAATATTTATTGTCACGTGACAACTGACGAATTGAACTTATATGTATGACTGCCGATATGTATAATGTTCTCTCATTTACTAAATAAAAGTAGGGCTGCATTTCAAAATAAGAGAAAATAAATAAAATGTGAAAATTATGCATGTTTAAATAAGGTGCTTAACTTCAGAAAAATATAATAAAGGGAGGAAAGCTTGAATTTCCCCTTTTTCTCATATTCTCATATTTGTCGGAGTAACAACGCAAACGGAATGACAAGCTGTTTCAGGGAACAACGGTGCATTTTACTTTTCATTTCAAATAAAACGCTGGGTTGCCAACTTCAGCCAGCTGGCTGGAGTTAAAATTTCAATTCGAGATGTCTGCACAAATATGTAACAGTTCTTACCTTGTAAATAGTCTGCTTTTGTATTGAACCGTGTAAATACACTTTTAACGTAGCTAATTTTAGGTTTATAATAGAATAATATAGATTTGCTGTAAGATTTCCTGCATGGGTGTCATGCCAGATGCTTGAGACTTGGCAACCCTGAAAACGTACATTTTTTATTTCACCCGAGTTGATTTATATAACAAATAACATTACTTCTTTAAACGGTTGTTAAAAATTGGAAACTTCAACAAACATGAAATCACCAATAAACTATGTCTATTTATCCAACATGTTATATAATACATACTGTAGTGTTTGAAAAGTGTAGCTGTAGGATTTCAGGACAGAGCAGCCACTCTGTCCGGAATATTACGGCATTTTGTTTGCGAGTGTTCGCTTTTCTGCTGTTAACACTAATGGCACATAAGCGCAAATAAAGGGCTGCATACGCCGAACTACGTCTTGCTTGGCGGTCAAAGGCATTTGACGTTCATTGGTGAGGGAAACGGCAGTTATAGTGCTAAACCACTACCAAAAAGACTACTAAAGCTGCGCCGGTTAAAATAGAAGCGCCCCATCCGGTTTTAAATCACAACTTTCTGTTTTGGCTATCTGTTCGGGTCCGTATGGGACTGCTTCTGGGTCCGGAACTGGACCACGGTCCGCCTGTTAGTGACCTCTGCTCTAGGGCATCCCAAATCCTCATTATCTTTTTCCATTCCATTACGGATCTTACTCAGATGGGAACTTTTTTTCCATTTTCAGCGATTACAGTACATTAATTTACATTCTTCATTCTATCAAGGTTACTACCAATATATGTATATGCATATGATGCATAAATAATGCTGTGATTTTTTCTTAAAGAAATTCTGTCTGCCATTCTGCCCGAAGAAGATGCCCTAATCCATTTCCTAAATAGCCTGAAATTGAAGTGATGCATTTCTATTGCATTATCACGAAGGGGCGGAGTTCAAAACAGTGAGCCTCGCTAGTTGCACGTCATCGAACCTAAAATCGTGCCTTGATTTAGCCAATTAAAGGGCGCCAACTGGACTCTGGCCCTGTATTAAACTAATTTCGTCCAATCGGCGTTCTGTTTCTGCTGTCTCTCAGAGAATGAGCAAATGGGATTGCGATGAATTAAAGCCCTTCCCTGTTCACCAGCGAATCGGAACGTTTCTGGGAGGCTCTCGAGACCGGAAGCTGTTGTTCAATCGAAACAGCTTGCGCTAGGTTCTGTTATACCGGTGTCGTACCGGGTGCGCTCGGGTGAGAAATAAGTGAATAAGTAAGCTAAATATTTTGTTTTATACCCAAAACTATAATATTATAGCTGGTAGTATATTTAAAATGTTGCGTTTAAGTGGCTTCTCTGTTGCTTTAGCTCTTGTACTTGTACCGAGCGGCAGTGATGCTTTGAAAGAGGGGGAATGTGAAGGTGAGTTTTTTCCCCTTAATTGCTGAATGTTAACCTAAACCGTTAACTAAATTAAACTGTTAGTTGCTGACATAAAGGGTTAACCCAAAGTATATTTAAGAATCACTGAAAACTTTGGGGGAGTCACACTGGCTTCTCGGTAATCGTGCATTTGTATAGGTATCGTTCACGTAGGCGTATAGCAATGATTTATTTCGTGACTGAATAATATTATATCAGTTAAATGGACGTGCGTGGTAAATTTTGTCAATAATAACTTGTGAAATCGCCGACTTTAGTCACATTGTGCCAGGTAATTCTGCCATTAGCATGCTATTTTGCTGGCTACCGGCTACCCAAGTGAGCGATGTGATGACATGTGTAGTAGTTCTGTCTTGGAGTGACACCCATGTATAGACGTATGCAGAGTCCGCCCGCTAGGGGAAACGAGTGTGTATTATTCCTACATTAGTTATACATTTTTTTTCTCTGCATTTGTAGTACATACAATTATTCCATAGGTCTTTCTTGATTAATCAAAACCGCGTATGAATTTGGGTTAAAGTCTGGTTGTCCAGTAGTTTCCTTCTTGAAAAGTTTGTATCCTCTTCTATAATTGAACACTTTAATAGAGGACAACCCAGAATAATCTTTTTCTTTTACTGTTCCAGTGTGTGTGAACTTCCTTAGCAGGTTTTATCAGTCTTTGAAAGACAGCGATGTTAAGTTTAACAGTGAATCCATAGAGAACGCCTTGGTCAAGACTTGCAATGATGCCAAGGGGAAGGAGAACCGGCTGGTGAGTCTTTTAGATGGGAATCCGGTGAAACTGCTAACACCTCGGAACTGTTACCGGTTAAAACGTGTCAGCCGCCGTGTCTTTTCAGTGTTACTACATTGGAGCAACAAATGACGCGGCAACCAAAATAACGAACGAAGTCTCCAAGCCGTTAAGCTATCATGTGCCTGTGGAGAAAATTTGTGAAAAGTTGAAGAAAAAGGACAGTCAGATATGTGAACTGAAATATGGTAAGTAATCTGAGAACCTCCTGTCTGTGACTGTTATATGCATATAATTCGGTTCTAATTATGCAAGTGTCTCCATTATAAAATAGTTGGTTATATTTAAGTAAACAAGTCATTTAATTAATCAAATTTATACATGTCCTTATATACAAGACATTAACTGGTAGTTATTCTATGTTTTGCTCCTATATATCTATCCATGGAACAGGAGCCTGTGTTAATTCAATAAAAACATGACTTGTATGTTCTTTATTTTATCATACATTCTTATCACGCTGTTCATTATTATAAATAGCCTGCATACTGGACTCATTGCATATATGCTTAAAATAATGATTATTTGCTGTATTTCCTCAGTTTGCTTTCTTGTGTAAGGGTTTATGCCACCTAAGAGAAACTTTTTACTGTTGACAGACAAACAAGTGGACCTGAGCTCAGTGGATCTAAAGAAACTGAAGGTGAAGGACTTGAAGAAGATCCTAGAGGAGTGGGGTGAGGCATGCAAAGGCTGCGTGGAGAAGTCAGACTTCATCCGCAAGATCAATGAACTGATGCCCAAGTACGCACCCAGTGCGGCAAAAGCACGGACAGACCTGTAACGACTACTCTGAAAGAGGGAGGGGGGCCAGAGGCTTCAAGGGTGGGGAGAGGGTTACCTTTTTTCCAGTGTGTGCTATGTGGACCACCCAATAGAATGGGATAGATTTTTTTATATATATGTATAATCATTTAAGTCTTCACTTCAAACCAAGAAGAGAGAAGATGAATTCATGAAAAATGAGCTCATTCTTCATTTATACTGGTCATGAATGCATACAATGTTATGAAATTTGGCTGAGAGTTTTTCATTAAAAATGGGAAAAGATTGTTGTTTGAAGCTATGATCATATTGATATGACTTACTGTTTCCTGAGTTATATCAGACTCCCAGTGTTTGCTGCATTAGGGGTGAGATTTTGCTAGTTTAAGACACTGCTTGTGATCTTAAACATTGCAGAAGTGTTACAACTTGCATGGCAACAAATTGAAACAATCTTGAGTATATCTGATGAATAAGGCCAGGCTTAATTCTCATATTTAGATGCTTTGTTTAGAACAAAGTAGCTTATAAAGGAGTGAGATGAACTGGTTGGTGGATTCTTTATTTATGATGCTCTGACAAACTTATAATGTATTTTAAAATAAGATTACAATACCACCTTTGCACTGCAGCATTGTCTTCAATATTTAATTTTGTGTGCATCTTGTGGAAGCAGGGGGCTCCGGTTTATGGTTAATTATCTTCATTAAAGCAACATTTGTGTATGCGATTTTGACGGATCTCACATATCCTATTCTCACATTGAACTGGGATCAATATTACATGGCAGACAAACATTAGTTTGATACTAATAAAATGTCCCAGTTCAGCTTTGCACAATAGGCACAATGTGCGTGTTCCTTGGGATGGTGTTTAATACTTTTAAACTGCTTTATCTGCTGAAATGGTCACCTTTTTAGCTGGTGAACCTGCTGTACACGATCGCAGTCCTTGTAATGAGTCCCTCATGCCCATACTGACTGAAATAGAAATGCCTTGATTCCTGTCCAAGTGCTGAGTCATCATAAATGATCCATTTAGTTTCAGAATTACCTGGCATCATGATTCTTAAGTTATTTAAATGCTGCTGGTATTCTTCCGATCAACTGTTTAATAAGGTTTGGTCGGGCTGTTGAATTATTAACTTGCACACAGCACCTAGGGGTAGAATGGGTAGTACCTTATTGGGTAGTACCATTGCCTTGGGTTTTGAGTTCCACCTCTGCTCTGTGTGACATGCAGTTAGGCTAATTGGTGTCTTTTAATTGCCTGCAATAGGAGGCTGATAGTTGGGCGTCAAATTATATAAAAGGATACATTTAAGTTATTAATAACAATTAATAATTTGTCAAAATTCATGTATGTTGAAAGCATGCATCCAGGGTTCAAGAACCACTGAAACACCAGTATGAATGACTAATTTTACTTATCCAATGAAAATGCATTACACTGATTTATAATTTTTTTTAGAAAGTATATGGGAAAACCTGGGGAAAAAAGGAAAAAAAAGGTTTGCTATAAATATTTCAATGTCGGTCCCACTCCAAATATTTCTTAGGTGTGACGTTATTTGTCTCATTTCAAATTTCTCATTTTTCTAAAAACACTCTGATCTCTTGTGTAAACTTATTTTTCAGTTCTTATTGGTATTAACTCAATAACGGTTACAGACGTAGCGAAAAGTCAGAAACTGGATTTAAAATATAAACAACGAAGTTTTTCCAATATTGGGCACACGTGAACTTAAGGCATTCGCTCATATCACTTAGATACAGCCAGTTTACTATCAAACAGGTAACAGGATTACACTTCGTACTGGCCCATTACTGTACATCGTCCAGCCCGAACTTGGACGTACGCTCCGTATGACGTCAGTCTCCACACGCTACGTCGAAACTAGCCCCTCCCACAGGCGAAGCGCGCACATTCCTTTTGTCCAAGATGGCGGCCTAGGTGCAGGCTCACTGATGCTAGCTAGAATGTTTTAAAATATATATTTTAAAATAAGCTCGAAAAAGCTTCTGATGTCGAAAACACGCGCTGCGGTTTGATCGTTTCTGCAGTTCAGTGCCGTTTACGGATATTAGTGGAATTGCATTCGGAGCGGGTTGTTTTTTTGCAGCCGCAAGAAAAAAGTTTGAGCATCATTTGAAGAAAAAAAAATGAAGAGGCAGGCCGAGCGGGACTCGAGTCCTGCTAGAGCTGTAGCTAAAAGGATGAGAGACAGGGATCGGGACCGAGATGGGAGTCGCCGAGAGGACGGCCCTCCTCCGCCGCTGGCCGTGCTGCTTGCTGAGAGCCGAAACTACCACAAGCACCAGGCTCGGAGTCGAAGCAGGGAGCGGGAGAAGCCCCGACTCAGGGAGGAACGCGGCAGCGGGGACCCTCACCACCGACAGCACCTCCACGACCTCGGATTGATCGGCCGGCCGCCCCTGCGAACCACAGCCGTACTACCCAAAAGTAAAGCGGCCGCGGAGCTGCTCAGCGCCCGGGGCGTCGGGGGCTTGGAGTACAAGACGCTACTTATCAGCAACCTGGGCTCACAGCTGTCCGACGAGCATGTGGAGGACGGGCTCTTCCACGAGTTCAAGAAGTTCGGCGACGTTAGCGTAAAGCTCTCCCACACTCCGGAACTCGGCCGGGTTGCCTACGTAAATTTCAGACATCCCGACAACGCGAAGGAGGCGAGGCACTCCAAAGCCAGGTTAGTCCTGTACGACCGGCCACTTAAAGTGGAGCCCCTGTACCTGAGACGCCGGAGCTGCACGCCGCCTGACGTCGGGTATATGCCTTTACACGGTGCTTACCAGTACAGACAGCGCTCCCTTTCGCCTGGGCCGGGAGTGAGTAACATTAGAGAGGGCAGGCTTCGGCATTACGCCGTCGAGGGACTTGGACTGAGCCGGGAGCGGGAGAGGTCTTTAGATTACTACACTATGCTGGACGAGAGGGGGCGGTCCTATCCGTACCAACTACCAGAAGAGGACTTGAAACCTGAGGATGACCAGAGAGCGACCAGGAACCTGTTCATAGGCAATCTGGACCACAACGTGTCAGAGGGAGAGCTGAGGAGGGGCTTTGACAAGTATGGCATTATTGAGGAGGTGGTGATCAAGCGGCCAGCTCGCGGGCAAGGTGGGGCATATGCCTTTCTGAAGTTCCAGAACCTGGACATGGCTCACCGGGCCAAGGTGGCCATGCAGGGCCGGGTCATCGGCGGCAATCCGGTGAAAATAGGCTACGGGAAGGCCAATCCCACCACACGGCTTTGGGTGGGGGGGCTTGGCCCCAGCACGTCTCTGGCGGCCCTGGCCCGTGAATTCGACCGCTTCGGCAGCATCAGGACCATTGACTACGTCAAGGGCGACAGCTTCGCCTACATCCAGTACGAGAGCTTGGACGCTGCGCAGGCTGCCTGTGCCCAGATGAGGGGTTTCCCCTTGGGAGGTCCCGAGCGGCGGCTGCGCGTGGACTTCGCCAAGGCAGAGGAAGTGCGCGGCTATCCTCCACAATACCAGTCGCCCGTGGTGCTGCCTGGGCACTACGAGACGGTCTCTGATGGATATGGCCGCCACCACAGCCTGGAGCGAGAACTCAGGGCCCGCGACCGCACGCCGACCCACGGGGTCTTTAGTGACCGCGAGAGGGGCCTGTCGGACAGGGACTGGACCAGCCCGCCCAAGGGGCTGGAGCGGAGGAACAGCTCGGAAGCCTTTGGCCGGGGCCGGGCCCGCAGCCGCAGCCGGGAGCGGTGGCCCCGTGAGCGGGAGGGCAAGGCTTGGGAGGAGCGGCGCAAGCGCAGAAGTGCCTCCAGTGACCGGCAGACAGAGGAGCGGGTGAGGCCCAAAGCCCGGGGCTCAGCCGCCGCCTCCCCCGATCACAGCCCCGACCGCTCCAGGGGGAGGTCCTCAGAACCTGGTGCGGAGCCCAAGGAACTGACTCCGGACAGCAGCCGTCACTCCAGCGAGGACCGGCTGGTGCGGGGAGGGGTGGAGGGAGACCGCAACCACCGGGTGGGGGAGAGTGAAGGGGAATCTCAGGGCAGCACCGAGCTTAAAGCAGATGGCAAGAAGCCGAGCACGCTGTCAGAGTATGCGCAGACGCTGACGCAGGTGTGGCAGGGCGCTCTGGTGCTCAAGAACAGTTGCTTCCTCACCAACATGCACATGCTGGAAGGGGGGGCTGCCTTCCTCAGCTCCCTTATGAGAGACAACAACGCCCAGGGTGGCAAGATCCTCCAGCTGAAGATCGCCCAGCGCCTGCGCCTAGACCAGCCCAAGCTGGATGAGGTGACTCGGCGCATTAAACTGGGCAGTCCAGATGCATACGCGGTGCTGCTGGCCGTGCAGGGCCCCGTCGAAAAGGACGCGCCCCCGCCGGAACCCGGCCTGCAAAGACGCCTGCTGCGCAACCTGGTTACATACCTCAGGAACAAGCAAGCCGCCGGCGTCATCGGGCTCCCCCTAGGGGGCGCCAAGGACCGTGAGATGAGTGGGATGCTGTATGCCTTCCCTCCTTGCGAATTCTCCCAGCAGTACCTCCAGGAGGCCCTGAGGACTTTGGGCAAGGTCGAGGAGGAGCATCTTGTGATTGTTATCGTCAGGGACTCTGTTTGAGAACCCAGCCTCTATCGGATGTAGTTTTTTTTTTTTTTTTTTTGTGCAGACATTTCCACTAAATAAGCTCATGGGTTTTTAGACTGAATGAAACTATCAAGCCTGTATCACTTCCATAAGGACTCCTGTGATGTATTGATGCTATGAGGTGTGGGCTTGTTCCTTCAAGGGAGATCGTGACACTGACCAGGCAGTTGTCTCCACTCAAGTCTTGATTACTAATATCAAGTTTCACTTTATTCGTTTTTTTTTCTTTTTTCATTATATTAACACTAATACATTTCAGTTGACTTTCATTGTTCCAAAAATGGAATTTTTATGCAGACTGAGTAGGGTTTTATTTCTGATTGTAGAAAAGGTGTTCCGTACCTGTACTGAGGTCAATCTTATATTTTATTAACATCATTCCAGAAATTAATGTACAATCTTTAAAAAACTTGTTTCAAGTATTGCATGCAGGAGGTTTTTGAATATTTTGGCAGACGATCCAGTTTAATGGATTCATATTGGACAAAAGTGTAAGCGATTACAGGGCTGTGGTTTTTAAAAAGCTGTTTTGTACTGTATCTCTACGTCTGTCTGTGCGTCAATGTTTTTAACTGTTGTCCTGTATTTTTTTAATTCTGTGTTTTTGTTCCTCTTCCACAAGATTATAGCAACCAGAATGTAACACTTAAGACTGCAGATCCCACTCATCTGGAAAGCAAACTGTTAATTTTATTTTTGTTGTTTTTTTTATTATTTAAACCGGAGAGGCAATTCAGTGTGAGGATAAGTCAGCATTAAACTACCTCTACAGTGCTTATGAAATGTTAGTCCTCAGTTATTATAAACACTATAGATAGGTTCTGTTCCTGTCCCTCCCAGAAACTTTCTAGTGCCGTGCCAGTAAGCCTAAATAGTCAGAGTGATTTATTATTCAAACACTATTGAATAAAGAAGAAAGAACACAGCATTTCTCCCACTTAGGAATTAAAATGTTTACCGAACCCTAAACAGACATGTGATCATCTTGGCCAGCAGAGGTCACTGTTTAGTATGCCTTTTGATTTTTTCTTTCTTTTTTTTAAATAAGGTTTTCCGTTCTCCACAATCTGATGTTTCCTCCGGCTGTTTTCCATGCTGTCCCATTGCCAGTTAAATAGCCAACATACTGAGGAAGATCGGAAGCGGTCAGAGAAGCTGAGGGTCCGTGCTGGCCTTTCAGGACTGAAGACGTGAAGTTTCTCCTGGTGCGATCTCTGCTGTAGTTGCTGCCAGCTGGCAGGTGGCGCTCTCTTCATTTACCAAGGGTTTCCGTACAATCCACCGTCCCCATATGCGTATTGCACAACACAGAGACTGCATCCTTGTTAACAACTGAGTAATGTTACGTTTGACATTTAGAAGAAATAAAAGGTCTTACACACTCTGTTTTTATATTTCAATTAGGTTTTTCTTTTGTATTTTAACTGTATGCTGTATGAAACTCAGTAAACATTTTAATGTTCCCATTTTTAATCCTTTTGCTGTTTATTTTGTCTAATTTTTTTCCTCCAGGTGGTATTTTAAACTTGGTGTGGTCACATAATGGGAGTTAGCAAAAGAATGTAAGGTTTTAATAGGCAATGAGCAGTAGGTCTGTCTCCATAGTTACCTGTTAGGATTCAGGTTGTAGTATCCAGGCAACTAGACCTAGCTGCTGTTGGTTACTGTAAAGAGACTGGGAGATGCTGTGCCTCTTAGGGCTTTGTTTTGGCAAAGTCGCGGCCACTAGGTGGCACTGTTAGGCACATTTCTGTTTTGCTGTCCTTTCCAGTGACTGTACGGAGGTTGTAACCAGACGGTACCTGAGCAGTACCTGACGGTACCGGTGTGGTGGAATTATGGTAAAATTTTACGGACAATTGTTCCCGAAAGCAATTTGTGGAAAGTTTAAATATAATCAGTAATGAGAATTGAATTTTGGGGTAGCCTTTTACAGAGCTCTGTGTTACGTTTGGGGAGCCTGTCTTCTGTATTCTCACATTCAGTTTGGGATACACCGGGAGGCTGCAATGCTGCCCTTTCTTTTGTGCTTTTCCTGCATTCCTGCAGCGTGGCCACATGATTTACTTTCCTCAGTGTCTCGTCCGAGGAACAGGTGCTCTGGGGAGGGTTGGTGCCCTCTGTGACTAATTTGCCTTTAAGGACACCACACTGGATTGGGACGATTATTATTTGTGTTTTTTTTTGGGGGGGTTGTTGTTCTGTGGATGTCAGGAATAAGTTCAGTGGGAGGGAAATGTCCTACTGTGGTCTGAAATGCTTAATCCTTCATTTTTCAGCTGTGTGCGGTTGTATGTAAAGTTTTATGATGATAAAAACTCAAAGTATATCAGCAATTCAGCATGTAATGGTGTCTTTTTCAGAGCTGAATGGAACAGGTTTGTATATCTTTATGGGAAATGTTATACCTAACAGTTTGTTTCTAACTAAATGCACCAAGACCTCCCCGAGAAAGTGTAGAAATTATTGTAATTTTTGTGATTTTTTTTTTTTTTTAAGGAACACTTTTTAAAATAATTATAGCTAGATGTAATACCTTACCAGATAACTAAAAAATTCTTTATAGACATTTGTGGCTATGAGGTCAGTGATGGTACAAATGAATTATTTTGGTTTTTGATAATGGTTTACCAGAAAGACACAAAGCTAAGGTCAGTAAATATGAGGTTATGGAAAGGTTTGTCACGGAATCGTTTGCCTCCATTAGGAAATCTGTCCAATGGTGTCTTTGACATGCAAATGAACATCAGCATGGCAACTGGGAAATGACCCTTGATGACAGGTGGCTTGCCCCACTTTGGTTATTTTTCCTGGGCCTGTTTGGTAGGTGTAGTGTTTTGTGAAAGTTCGCGCAGGTATGAAATTGCCTCTCTTATAGCCGTAGGCGTGAAAGACAGCCGTGGTTAAGCTCTGTTCTCGTTCCAGCTGGGTGTACCGCTTGTCATGCTTTGTTTCCTTCGCTATGGGGCGTTTCTTTAGCAGTAAATGTGTATGATGCCGTGTCGGTTAAGGACACAGACTTTTGACCTGAAGGAGTCTGCTTAATTTCCCAGGGGTGGCCCTGCTCTGCTGCCCTTCAGCATGGGTACTTAACTGAATCATTTAAAGAGATGCCATTGGGTAACCACTTCAGCGAAGCAGTGAGATAAATACTACATATATTACCTTTGTAGCTGTTTCTCTAGAGAATGTTCACTCCAGAGCCATGTGATTTAATGCGTTGTGTAAGTTTATGTGATTGGCCACTTTTTTGTGATGGGGCCAGATCATACATTTGTGAAAGAATCGCCATCATACCTTTAATGATCACGGTCAGGTTTAAATTCTCAGGGAGATCGTGCTCTTCTGGACAGGATCTTATCTGCCGGGGGGGGGAAGAACAGGATCCGGTCTTAGGATAAAAGTTACCATGGTTCCTGCAGAGGTCACACACATCTGCTTGAATTAACTGTAGTCACGTGGAGGTGGAGCTGCTGGTAACTAATTAAGGCTCGATGCTGATATTGGGGATGCAGGAGCTGAGCCTCCCTGTGATTGATGCAGTTTCCCCGTCCGTAAGGTGCGACCGGCTGTCATTTCCAAGGAAATGGAGGAGAGTTACGGCGATGAAAAATTCATGCGGAATCATCAAGTCTCTGGTGCCATCCATTAAAGAGGAATGTAGAGGGAACCTAGATGGTGCATTAGGCCCAAGCGGCATGGGCATGAAGTGGTGCGGAGGAATGAGTTTAGAGTCTGGATGCTGCGCTTCCTTGCATGACTGTTTTGGAAAGGCTGAGGCGCCCACAGAGAGAAGAGTGCGGAAAATACCTCTGGCGCGGATGACCCAACTCCATAGTGAGCCAGCAGATGTTGGTTGAGAGGGGAAGGCGACAGTGATGGCTGGAGTCAGCTTCCTCTCTCACTCCCCCCTGGGCTTTGCTCGTCAGTTGGATACTTCCAGTCTCAGCTAATGTCGAGCTTAGGGTATTTTCAAGGGACCGTAAAGGATGGACCCAATGCTTCATAATAAAGAGAAGTCTTGGCTTCTTTTCAGTTTTTTAGTTAAGTGTGAAGTGTTAGAGCTGTTTTCGTCTGATTGAAAAATGCCAATTATTTCCTAGGACGTGCAGAAATTTTACAGAAAACAATGAAATAAACACAATGTTTAACTTCATTCCAAGTTCTAAATTAACTGGCTCTCAAAAGAATGTGAGTTACATTTCTTAGGAATAAAAATTCTGGATTTAAACAAAATGAGAGCACTTACAGTCCTGAAATTCACCCACAGATGCTGCAAGGACCCTCATTTAGTTATTATAATGATTTTTCTGTACCGCACATCTGGTTTAGCCTGAGATGTGGAAGAGGCTGAGTTGGCATTGCCGGTATGAGCTTGGTGTATTGTCATTGTCCTTGTCACACAGGGTGGCAAAGAATATTACTTTTCTGGTAACAGCTGCAGAGTCTAACAAGTTGGCTCGGATTCTTTGCAGAATTTGGGGGGAGGGTGGGACTCCATCGATTTGGATGTTATATTTTTATTTATTGAATTTCTTCTGATGGCCAGTGTGATGAGTCCCTTTGCAAATGCTTGTCTTGTCAATTAAAACAGACATTAAGCAGCTGAAATATAAAATATAACATTTCCCTGTGCTTTTCTACAGGGAGTACAAAGGGACAAATGTGAAAAATCAGGATGTGTTTCAATTGTCATCCACCAAAAAGAGAAAAAGTAACAAAAAATTCTATGGCTTTGAGTATCTCGCTTTATGTGAAAATACTTGTCACTAGCCATGTTTAATTCATCATAATATTACAATCGTGTTTTTTTCAAATCCTGGTTACATAGCAAAACAGAGCTGTGTTTTTCTCTTAAGTAGTCTTTTTTAACGGGTTGCTAATTTAAATTGATATACTTGGGGGGAAAAAATAAAGCACTAACATTTTTGGACTGGACAGACTGAGTCAGTAATGGGAGGAATGTGCTCACATCTACGAATTGTGCTTCTGCTGTCTGAGAGCAAGGTTTGTGCATGCAGGTTAATCACACGTGTTGAGTCAGATTGCCCTGTGCTGAACACACGATTGCGGTTTCATGTTTGCGCTGCTAATATAATTGTTGGTGTTTATTCTATGCAGCTATGAGACCTAAGCTCTGTTTCATAGCCTTCGTTATTATGCTGTTTTTCATCATTATTAACTAAAATGTAATATATTTTTAATGAAATGTTTTAGCACATATTCATTAAAAACTATCTAATCTATCACTAAGCACTGTACATTCATACATAAATGCTGTATGTAGTACAGAACAAGGTGCTTAATTATAAGTTTTTACTTACAAGATAGTTGTATAAATGAAATGAAATATAAATGAGAATGAAATATAACAATCGCAAGCTAATCTGGATGAAATGAAAATACTTGCTAAGCAAATAAAATGCACTAGTGCCTCTTCCAACCCATTATATACTCTTAGTTGATTGTCGCCTGCCATACACATTCTTAATACCCCCATTTATAAATAGTTTTCCAAGGTGCATTTGATTAGTGTTTTTTCAGGGTTAGTTTTTTTTTTCTTTTAAAGATACTCATTATTAGCCGACTGGCACTTTTCCTACTTTCAAAAATGTTTCCCTCCAGAGCCCTGTCAGCGGAAACAGTTTGAAAGTCATTGATATTCATTATTAAAGCCGTCCATATCAAATGAACCGAAGAACCACTTTGATCTGGCGAGCTTTTCTTGTCTTTACGTATTCGTTTAATCTCTCATTGAATTGCAAAGCACACGGGTCTCTGCTACATGCTACCGTGCTTCCCTGGGTCATTCATGGCAGACAGCTAGCTTGTAATACTGGCGTCTCTTTAGAGGAAAAATGGTAAAGCATGACCTAATGCCCTCCTGTATTTCCCGAGACTTTGTTCCATTTTTATTAGTCTCGAATTCCGAATAGTATTTGTTGTTCATGCTAGACAGTGTTAGCACAAGACTGTTTGGCTCAGTTGCAGATTTAAAGTGAGCAGTTTTAACTCCAGGTTTAGCTCCAGGTCTTCCATTTCTGCATGTGACAACAGTGTGACAGAGTTCCATGGGCAGCCGGGAAAGTAGTGTTTAAAAATATGGAATCGTACTCTGAAGGTTTCCGGTTCAGGCCCCGGCGTGAGACATGATCACATTGCCCTTGAGGAAGTTACATAATGTGAATTCTCTAGTAAAAAATATCTGGCTGTATGAATGTGTAATTAATGCGGGTCACTTTGCTCAAAAGCAGGGTGAGACAGTCCCTGGAGGAACTGGAGGTTAAGGGCCTTGCTGAAGGACCCAATGGGGAAGTCTCTGCAGTCCCTAGGATTTGGGCCAGTGACCTTCTGATCACAAGGTTAGCATTCTAACCCACTGAGCCACACACCTCTCACTACTTAAATTCTTATCATTTATATTTATTGCAGTGTGAGTCGGAGCTCCTGCCATCGTGAACCTGTGCACTACTGTGCTTTGTATATTAGCAACCTCTTCATCCCTTTTCAGCTTTGATGCCCGAAAGAATCTGTTTGTGTTTGGACAGCTGTTGGGGGGCGCGCTGATTCATAGCCCGCTTTCATCCGGAGGCCGCCGTCTTTGTCTCGCCCAGGTGCTGGGAAGGAGCCAGAGGAGCAGTGGGCCAGCTCTCAGGACTGCTGCCGTGGGATCTGCTGTTAGATCCAGCAGATGGATGCGTTCTGCACCTGACACGCCTCAGCTCTCACACCCCAGTGCTCATCTGCGTGATGACTGGGTAGCAGGACCCTTGACTTCGGCTTTAATTACTTGCTGATATGGCATCTTCAGGTAATTCTATGAAGAATCCATTTTGGGTTTAACTACTGGTGTGAAAATGCTGCCGAATGTCTAGGAAAGCAGTGGGGCCGTTTTCTGACGTACGCCTTAAGTTTCACGTTGCCGACAAATACGACACATTTGAGCGCCTCGATCTGCATAATATTTATTTTTTATTTATGGCAAAATGGAGAACGGAAAACAGGAAGATAGACACGACAAAAGTCACGTGGACACAAAATGGCAGAGTTTTGTATAAAAACTTATTTTAGGGAAATGAATTCTTTTGGCCTTCGCTGCAACAAAAGAGCATAAAATTCAAATGCAGATATTGAGAGACAAGCATATCTGTCGTTACATATAACAATAACTTGTGTGAAGTTTACATGAAGTACATGACTAGCTGTTGATCTTTTGTTTCACAGAGCAGAAGGTCTGTTTCACACCTGCGACTCACCTTTTCGTACTCGTCTGAACAGCCCTTATCGGATAGCCCCCTTTAGCTACCGATGTTGCATAATTTGGAATTACTGCGGAACCGCAGGCGCATGGTTTGCATAGACGTTAAATGAAGTTGTGTGCATGCAAAATTCGCTCGAGTTAAAAAGAGGAGGCATCTTGTGAAACGGCAGGGCCAGCTCAGCAGGGAAAAGTCAGTGCTCAAGGACAAATTTACGGTTTCGTGACGCTGCAGACGCTCACCCGCTTGAAATAAAAAGCTGTGAACTTAGATAGAAGAGGGACCGATCTCCCAGCAGATCATAATGCATGGTGTGCATTACTGAGGGGTTTCTCCTGTGGTTTTTCTTGCATTACCAGTTTCTCTTTCTACATCATGAGACCCAGCACCCCCCGAAATTCATTATCTTATCGTTCGCATAGCTAGCCATTAAAATATCCCACTTATGTGACCCCACTATGTGTGTGTGTGTATGTGTGTGTGTGGGTGCAACAAGTCAACATGCAGCGTTATTTTCAGGGTGTAGGGCCAGTAACCTTTATCGTAATTCTAGCGGTTTCCCTCAGACGCTATTTCCTAGCTACTTACATTAGAAATGAAAAAAGAACCTGACTTTAATTTCTTTTTCAGGGCTTTTAATTCTAATTACATTGCAGAGGTGGTAACACACTTTTCCTATTAAAAAAAATAATAATAAAATGTACTGTTAGGAAGCACTGAATCTGTAATTAGAGGCAAAGAAAATCTTTTGTTCTTTCATCATAATCCGGGGCAGGAAGGACAAGGTAATATTATGTGTATTTTACCTGGTGTCAATTAAAAAAAATATTATTAATAAAAGAAATAATCACAATAAATATAATAAATTACAGTTTTCAAATAAATGTGACAAAACTACGTAAAAACATACCACAAAGAGAGGTTTCAGTTGTCTTTTTTTAAAAACTTGCTTTTTTTATACATCATTTATATATTAAAAAAAAACCTGTATAGAGGAGCATACACAGACACTGTTGTATAAAAGCTGATACGTTTAGGGTTTAGCATCAGTAACCAGTGTTTAATTTATAAACTCTCAGGGAATAACTGTTAATAAATAAAAGTAGAGAACAGACAAGAGAGACAGTCTATGGCTTAAGAGGCTTGGCGAATTACACGATCTATATTGGCCAATGCCATCTCATTTTTCTGTGGTTAATGAAAAAAGCTACAAAACAAAAAGAAAAAAGGAATACAGTCTTACTATATAGCTACATCAGGTGGGAGAGGAGAAGAACATAGGGGCCCATCCCAGATTTGTCTTAGGACAGATGTTGGGAATTGGGGGAAAAGATGGGAACATCAGTAGGGTGCAAACTTTTGCCTCTCAGGTTTCTTGATCCCGTTGGCAGAGGAGATTTTTGCGGTGTAGGAGGCCAGGGTCCCGTGGGCTGGGGCCGCGGCGGCTGTGGCAGCAGGGGCGGAGAGTGCTAGGAAGGGGACGGATTTCATTCCCAGGAGGCTGGAGAGGGGGAGGGCATAGGGAGCACCCAGCACAGGAGCATGGGGCAGGCCACCCATGGCTGCCAAGGCTGCGGCTGAGGACGAGGCAGGGGAGGTGGGCTGGGTGAAGCTCATGTTGAGGTCAACAGGGGTCGACATGGAAGAGGACTGGGCGGTGGATTTGGCGGTCTCTAAACTGCACAGGGGGAAGGGAGAGGAGGGAGGAGGAGGAGGAGGAGGAGGAGGTGGAGGGAGAGGGATAGGAAAGGGGTTCGGATGGAGAAGGGTTAGAAGGTTAAATAAAAGACATGTTAAAGAAAGAAATCAAACTTAAATCATAAAATAACGGAACGAACCAAAAAAAAAATCATAAAAGAGGTGTGTTTTGCTGGAGGTTGCAACAGATTATTTGAGGGTGGGCCTCATGGGGGGGGTGTTGTTTAATTCAGGGAGATGGCTCGGGTGGGGGGTTTAGGGAAAGGAAACAAAATTATTTTTAATTAATTTAGATTATTTTATTTCCTGAACCTTTAAAAAATAAATAGGTCTAAGTGTATCATTTCCAAACTCTGTACAGCTAGAGAGCGTAATTTAAACAACACGTTTTCATATATCGTTAATGGCTGTACGCTGATTGAGTTCCTCTGTAGCTAATTTCCGAGCAGCAGGTAGAGCTGCGGGAGCCTTCAGCAGTCGACGGTTCGGATGGAGCGTTTCCAGAAGAGAACTCCGGCTCTGCCCACTGAAACCCACTGAAAGAGTGCTGCTCAATCTGCCGGTGGATAAATTGTGTTGTGTTTCAGAAGAATCTAATTTCAGTAACGCTATTCTGACATCAAATGCTACTTGGATAATGATCTTTTTGTAGAACTGCCTGTTAATACTAGTAATACACAATAGTTTAATTAATACTGTGTTCACCTCTATGTCACATACCTATGACTAATGTCACATCTATGATTAATATCATAAAGTGGTTCATGCAGCTACTGTAGTTAAGAATGAAACTACGCCATTTGTTTAAAAATACAAATTTAACATATTTTCATAATAATACTAATAACTGAATACTAATAATATGAAAGAAATTCTGGGATCTACGAACACCCAATGATGAAGTATGGATAGCACATTATTTTATGTAAATATTATTACTTTTTTTTATACAGAAATATTTTCTTTGGCATGAGAATATTTTGGAAGCACTTTGCAGGTTCCTAAGATAAACATCCCCTGTACATTTAACTGTAATAAACTGACTACTTGATTATGTTGGAAAAATTGAAAAAAATTGTCATATTAGCATTAGCAGTAGGATGAAGATATATATTTTTTGTATTTAACTGAAAGAGACATAAATATTTGGAAATCGGTACATTTCTGATCAAAGGTTACTATAAAAATTGTACAAAAATACATTAAGGTATTGAACAGATGCCTCAGTAGTTGTATTTCATACATTCCATTTGCATAAAACATTTCAAGTATTTCATTTATTGTATGATGCATGCTAAACCCAAAACCTAAAATAGGATCCATTGTATATAACAAGATAGTATCTCTTAAATCTATAATCAGTGTTTTAATGTTTGTGTAGTCGAACTAGCTTAACTAGGATTTCGGGGGTGGGGGGGGTGTAATGTTGTGTATGAACACAAACAAACAAACCACCAAACAACAACCTAGACATCTATGTGAGTCTCTGAACAGAACTGCCAATCATGTTGTCCACTTCTGAGTCCCCGGTGGCATGGTGACTTCGCAGATGGGAAAAAACAGGCTTTGCCCCCTCTCCAGGGCTAGCCATGAGGACGCCGCGTCGCGTCACTCTGGGGTCTGGAGCTTACCAGGAGGTGATGAGGTACTGGGCGAGGTTGATGCTGATCGGGGTACCGGTGATGGTGACGTGCCGGTCACTAGTGCTGTCCAGCTGGCTGCCGATCTTGATCTGAGCGCCTGACACCTGCCGGATTTCGTTGATCTTGGTGCCCTGTCGGCCGATGATTGAGCCGATGAGCTGCAAAAGGCGAGCAAAGACGGTCAGAGGGACGAAAAGGCAGCTCAGTCGTTAACTCAGTAATACAGGGTTATATACTGTACATAATAATAGCCTGAAAGGAAGCTTCGCAGTCCGGTTGATCCTCTTTGTTGATGACTAGCATTGTTTTAGCTGATGATAAATCCTGCTGTAATTATATTAACAGTATATATTTTCTGTTTATGTGCCCAAAGCGTGAGCTATATGGATACACACTCTGCATGTGTTATCACCCTAATGTCTGTCTCGATGAAGCTATCAAGGTTCAGCCATTCTACAGAGGTTAGCTAATACCCTCCGGCCAATTCCCTGGCCGGTTTTGCTTCTATCAGGTTCTGTAAAATGAGACAAACGACCGTGCATTTCCTTCTCGTCACTCCTTTTGGCTAAGTGGTTATTGATTGTCAGAGCTGGGTAACTTTGGAAAGGCATCACTTCCTCAGCAAGGTTCTGGGAATTGCTTATTTCGGCCAGTTAATGGAGTACCACAGAAATAAAAGGTGATACACAAAAAAACACACAAACTTTGTGTTTTCTGATTTTACTGTAGACTTCTCTAATGTTTTTATGTAATGTGTTTGTTTATTTTTCCCAACTATTGTTATTCGAAAAATAAATTAAAACCCCCGATTCAGCTTCATTGATCATTCAGATTAGTAAGAATAAATGAAATGCGTTGCCTTAGTGTTGTACAGTAGCGTCAAAAAAGGACAAAATCGAATAACGTATTTAAACCTCAATTTTATCGATGTTTTGTGCAGATTACGCCTCGTCCTCGTCAGTCCATAGATGGAAAACTGCTGCAATCCCCGAAGCATGCAGGAGGCCCCTGGACCGCAGCAGCGGCACCATCGGGGACCTGGTGCCGGCAGGTCGACACACTCGGGTGATGGACAGATCCCCTTTTGTTCCCCAGGCCCCCTATCTGCCCCCCCGCCCATTCTTTGCCCCCCCCCCACGTTCCGCCATTGGGGCATTCCTTTCCCCACCAGTCAGCCGCCTGCTCAGCGCCTGATCCCTCACACTGCCCATCCTGCACAGCTATTAATGGCACCGCCGATTATTTAGGGGCGAGAAAAGACGCCAGACCTGACCATCAAATAGAGGATCAATCTGGCTAACCCCCCCCCCCCCCCCCGTTCCCTCCCCATCCATTCCTAGAATGATTACCCCCGCCCCCCCGCCACCTTTGTTCCGACGTTCCTAATTTCACAGTAGCATTAGCTTATTGGTGGTTTTGTTTAATTTCCTAATAACAATAATCACACAGGGAATTAAAATCTTCTACTTGACATGTCCCCTTATCATTCATTCCACTCCGTGATAGAGAGCTGTGCTCTGCTGCTCTATTTTTGGGATCCACTGTAGCAGTGACTTTGCAGGCTGCAAACATCACTGTCTTCTGCGGACCAGGCTTCATCCAGGGAAGCATTTGCTAAATCTTCTCACCTAGTGGCAGCCTGTTTACCTCCATCCTGTCCTGCCCCACAGGGGTGACTGTGATACGGAGATGGTGACATTGTACTATTTACATTCCTTGGTTCTGAGACTGCATCTGATGCTCAGCTTTGTGGGCTTACAAGCGGCTCCGTGGAGTGGAATTAACATTGTCAAGAAAATAGGAATTTGTTCTGCTTAATCATATTTTGACCTCAGCTGATCAATAACAGTATTCACTAATGAAATGTTTATATTTAAATAATTTACCTACATACAACTCGACCATATGACTTTTCTGCTTATGGAAATAACAGAATCACATGTCGTTTAGGGTGGCCACCTAATCCATGCCAGTGGGGACACTGAGCCAGGACAGGGTTTGCAAACTACCATTTAAATTAAAAAGACCTGGATTTCACTTTAGCACTGAGTTCTTGCTGTCTGTTGATTGGTCAGTTTCCTATAATCGTGCATGTTTATATGCTAATGTTAATGTGAAACTGCTGGACGAGTCTTGCAATCAAGGAAACCAACCAGTCAAAGCATAAGAAGAATTTAACTAATTAGCCAAGCGCAGGAGCCTTTCAGTTTTAAAGTAGTTTGTAAAAGCTGAAGTAGCTCATAGTGTCGCCCCTGACATGGATTAGGGGGGGGGGGGTCACCCTAATATAATTGCTTTTGAGGATCATGACCAGCTAATATGGACTCCTCTCTCAGCAATCTCTTCGTTTCATTCATTCATTATTTCATTCACACATTTATTTATTTACCATTTCATCATCTTTGTTTTTTAGATTAAAGCCAGTTACATATCAGTTAAAATTGGCTTTCTTGGTGGAATATACTTTATTATAATATGTGTTGATTATATATTAAGTTTATATAACATGCAATGATATATTTCTATGTATATGCCGGGCTGATTCTGACTCTCACAGGGCAGAGGGACCGACGGGATAAAAATAGTCCAACTATCGACTTAAAAAAACGGGCAAATTCTAGTGGTGTGGCCAAAAGCCAGCAGATTGATGTGTTCTCCAAGAGCGTCAGTGGTTTCAGAGGCAGGGCGACTTGGGCAGCCCCATACAGAAACCATGTGAGACATGCAAAGCTGTCCTGAGTGCGTGCAGGCCGCGCCGTGTGGAGAGGCACGCTGAAAGGCAGGCCGCCTGTTTATTTACTGCTCTGTTTTGACAGCAGAGTAGTACTAAGTATGTCAGACATCATGCGGGGGTTTAATGGAGACTCACAGAGGCCGCTGTGAGACTGCAGAACCTGACAGAGCGAGAGAGAGGGTGAGTGAGGGACCTTGTGTAGAAATCCCTGGTGTCCTTGGCTATATTGTGGGTCTCACTATCAACCTGTTACTGGAGGCCTTAAAGATATTAGCACCTGCTTCACCTGCTTCACCTGTCGCAGTGTGCCAGTCCACTGCCTCGCCAAAGAGTCTCTGACTCGGCACGTTTGCGCATCAAAAGCGTTAAAACGGACGAGGAGGTTGCTTACATCATTCGGAATGAGGAGTTCCTGGGACGTGGTCTGGGAGTTGGACTCTATTCCTGAAGGAAAAAAAGCAGAATATTATAATAAAAACAAAAAATGTGTAGTGTTGTCAGTGTTTTGGGAAAAAAAATAAAAGAGTCAGCAATTATTTTTTTGTTTTTGTACTTTTACGGCCAGGCATTTGCCCCCTCTGGCATCAGTACTGCCCTCCGTGAACTGAACTCCACCCGGACGCCAACTCCTCCCTTCCTAATGACGCCGGCCGTGACGCCAACGGGGGCGCGTCTGCTGCTCCGGCCCCGCAACGCGCAGTGGGGGGGCGCCACTCTGCCTCGCGCGGCGGGGTGGGAGAGCAGTCACGACTGACAAGCTTCTAACTGCAGCATAATCTGATTCCCCGCCATATCTCCAGTACAGTATCCCTGATTTAGCTGTCGTAGCCGTCTTGTATTTCTATTCCACGTTAATCCTTAAAACCCTTAAAAGCATTTAAAGTGCGATGCATATATTGACGCCAGAAACTCTTAAAAGCATCAACATGGGGTCATCATCTAACTCTTTTCGTACCGATTCATCCATCTGTCTTTTTTCACTTTGCACTTAGCACTCAGCTATCGCTAATTTTCACATACATATTTCTAATGAGACGTCCGCAGACGCTGCAAAAAGGAAATTACTAAGGGAATATATGACTCGTAGACTGCAGATGGCCAATCTTTGCTTCCTGTGAAGACCCTACGTCAACTTTGAAAGCCATGGTGCCGGCTGGAAGATCTCTGAAAGGACTGCCCCCTCTTTGCTGGGCTAATCTACCCGCAACACATGCCTCTGTAAGAACAGGTGTGAGTCTCTGGCCTTGTGCTTACGGGGCACTGGTAGGATCTTTAGCTAAGCCGCCTTTTCATGGGAGTAGCCTTGTCTAGGAAGGGGCCTGGCGTGCAGGACCTGCGACGCCGCGATAAGCATCGCACACGTTTTTGTCGCATGCAGGGCGGCCACTAATTTTGACTAGATTTTTTCATATTGTTTTGGGAGGGCATCCAAGACAAACCCAGTTTCTTAGCCGGGTGCGTTTTCCAGGGTGTTTTTACCAGGCTTTGAAAATAAAATAGAAGTTTTATTCTGAAGCTCAAGAGGCATTGATGTATGGGTGTGGGCCTGTCTTTTGGGTGTGTGTGCATGACGAAATATATCTAAACCTGAAAAAAGAGGAAGTACCAGTAAAACCACACTTATGTTTAGGACATTCAAGAAATTTTAAAAAGTGAAAATACCGTCACTTTTTGTATTAACTGTTGTCTATTTTCTGGATTAGGGAAAGCAATTGTACACTGCATGAAGCAGAGAGTCCCCATAAACATATCAGCATAATCTGAATGTGTGTGTGTCAGAGAGTGTGTCAGATTTCTTTTCTCCAGCTCACCAGTGGCCCCGGAATTAAGCGACCCTCCCTTGTGCCCCCCCCCACCCCCCCACCCCCCAAGGCCCTGGGCCAGACGGACACATACCAGGAAGGACAGGGGTAGCAGGCTGGGTCATGGGAGCCAAGCCTTGCTGCACCGACAACTGGTGAAGCTTGACCAGCTAACAGGAAAAGGAAAACAGCAGTTTGCATATGGAAAGGAGGCCTATGCCTCGTCATACAATCCAGTCTTTTATTTTGAAATATCCGTGCTACTCACCTCTGAATGTGGAATGCCGTATTGGTTTTGTAGAGTATAGGCCTAGAAATGGAAGGAAAGTAGAACCTGTGAACACGACCACTACATTTGATATGACTGCGATGATAATGTCAGTAAATACCTCTCAAACAATGACTTCTGAATTATAAAAAAGGAATAATATCCAGTTTATTTCATTATGTCATTAGTTGTAGTGGTGACCTTGTCAGAGAGACAATTAGGCTCTAATCGGCCATGTTTTTGGCTCTGCAATGGGTAGATATGCTTAAAACACATCGACATATGGTCACATGATGCGCATGCTAAAATGCGCGGAATTTGCTTAAGCTAACCTGGTTTTCAAGGAGTACAAGAGTTTCATCTTATAGTCTCTCCTGAAGTGGGGCACTAGCCCTTAGCACGTTAGCACCCTTAGCATGTCGCCGCGTCCCTCTCGGCCCAGCAGGAGGCAGTATGCGTGTGGGTTGCTATTCGGGGCGTTATTTCCATCCAAATCGCCTCACTTATTTACTGCCTCCTCTTCCGCTCTTTGCTTCTCCCGCACGTCCTCCGCACGCTCGTAAATAATGCATAAAAGCATTAATCGCCTCGCAGAACCACTTAGCGTGCTGTAATATCCCCACACCCCAGCCCCCCTTCTGCTCTCGCGACGGGCCGCCATTAGCAGCGGCCCATGTGATGATGATGGCGGTCCCTAGACCCCTGCCAAGCATCGGATGTCCATTCTCAGGCCACCTAGAACCATTCCCGGTGGTCCTGCATCGCCAGATGTGATGTGGGACTGTAAGACCCGGGGAGAAGGGGTGAGATGGGTGGAGTCAGTTCTACCCAATCACAGCCCTGTCTTTGAGTTACCAGACGTTATTGAGAATGCTCCCCAGTGTGTGACTCGTGCCTATGGAACATCTGCCATACTCCTTTTTCCAGAAATGATTCACTTCCACGTCTACCAGAGATGCGTTTCGCGGCGCGTCGTTACAAAAAAAGACTACCAACAGCCTGGCCACGGCCCAGTTTTTAACACCAAATTATAACCTTGTTCTTTGTTCATTCTATAATGGCAACATAGCTTTCTCTCTGGCTCAAGGTGTTGTCTGCAGCGCACAAAATAAAAACAAGACTAAAGACAACAAAAGCATCCACATTGCCCCACCCTCCCTCAGACATACAGTAGGCCATGGCAGAGGGAGATGGCGTTAAATGGAACAGGGAGGTCTGTGCCTTTAAAATGACTCCACATCTCCAAATATACTCACTTGTTGCAGATCCAAACCTCCCTGAGCCACTGAGAACAGAGGGTGTGACCCAAACTCAGAGGCTTCGAAAACCTTGAGATGGGAGACAGAAAGAGAACAAATCAGGGCTTTATTTTCACTATTTACACCTCGTTACTGCCGCTGCATCAGTCCGTCATCAGTTTGGAGCTTAAAGGAGGCTAGAAAGGAGAATTTCATCTATATCATTCAATCGTAAACTTAGAAAAACAGCTGACAAGTCCAAAGAACATTAATGGATTGATCATAAAACAAAGTCTTGTTAAAATTTGGCCTGGGTTCTCGCTCCTGTCGATCCCCATTCCTGAATTTGAGAAGCAGAGAAAATTGAGAGATATTCACAAGGGGGACCGATTCAATCTTACCATCATGCACACCTGATGGCTTGTAACACTCTTTATTCTTCTAGGTGAGTTAAATGCACATCAAACCAATCAGATCCCTGTGTGAAAGGTAGATTCTTCTGGAACTTGGGTGTCAAACTCCAGTCCTGGGGGGCCGGAGCCCTGTGTAGCTTAGTTCTTTCCCTGTTCCACCACGAATGATTCAGCTCAAGAGCTGTGTGGTAATTAGCACGAGGAGTTGAATCAGGTGTGTTAAATGAGGGGGAACCAGGAGTTTGACACCCCTGTTCTGGAAGGATGATGGTCCTAGCTTTCTCGTCTGAATTACTTGGGCTATCTGCCATGCTTTATAAACAGGTGTAAATAGCAAGTCGCTTTCAAACTAAAGCAGCTAAATGCAAAGGACTTCTAACTTCCTGCATGGCGGACAGCATGTGGACACATCGATGGTCTCTGTTGTGTTCTCACCTGATTTCCAGACAGCAGGATGGCTCCTGGGGTGGGATTGGGCCGGTATGGAATAGTGGCACCCTTTGGGGGAGACTAGCGTTTGGGGGGGGGGGAGGGGGCAAGGACAAGATAACATGGTGGGAACTATTAGAAAAACTGTGGCCCAAAACAGGAAGTAACTGCAGCTGACCAACATTTGAGTGACATGTGACTAAGTCATCAGGCATTATGTGCAGAGTAAAATCAGAAATTACCAGGGTATATATCAGTCACTATGACTAACATACAATGTGCTGTTGTCTGCTGACTCACACAAAAGCCCCAATGAAACTTCTGTGTAACACATTACCTAGGACACACGTGTCGGTATGTCGGGACACTAATGATATTACACGACAGAAGCTGCATAGCTGTAATGTAATATAATATAATATAATAGCTCTACTGTCCAGTTAATGCACGATATGGATCTTTTGGGGAGTAAAGCAACTAATGATTTTAATGACAGTTTTCTTTCCATGTTCTATTTTTCTCAGTGGCTATGGTACATTTCTAAAATCATCCTTAACATTTGCATTTCTCGGAACAATTCATACAAAAAGCACCACATGATGGAATACCTGCAAAAGCCTGTGACTTTCTCAAAATCCTTAGTTTATCCCTCAAAAGTAAATTTTTATGTCAATTAACTTGTCCAGTGCTACTAAAATGACTAGTACTTGTGTTGTTGTTCACGAACAAGATGGTCAAAATGCTTAGCCATGTTGTCAATATAACAGTGTATTCTGTGAGTATTTTCAGATGTAAACTATGGCTAAGGTTTTGATTACAATGATTGGAAATGCACACATTTGTACTTTTTCTATATGACATATCAATTTCACTGTATTCACTTCAGGTACTGTATGTGTAAGTTACACATACAGTACATATACATATGTATACATATATACACACTGGAAATGTGTGCTACAGTATATGTCCAGTATGTAAATGTATAAAGTAAATGTGCTGCATACTATAACATGCAGTGGAATACTGTAATATGAAGCATTGCAGTACGTATACAATATTATAGTACAGGTCATATTGTTGGATTACATACCTGTTGTCTCTATGAAACATTTGAATGACATTCGGCTGCACCCTTTGACCAGCCTTGGCCATTGTAAGGCAATGACTGAAGAAATGGCCCTTATTTCATCAGGAACGTGCCTCTGTTCTTGGCCTCTTCTACCTCTGCCTCTGTTTTGCCTCCCTACCCTTCCACCAAGCACCCTCACTCCTCTTATTCTTACCAGCTGCTGACCCTGTTCATTTCCTTGTTGTTCTTCCATTGCCAAATTGTAACACTGTGTTGTGCTCTGTCAATATGTGCTGCCAACTGAAGGTTCGTGAGATGCACCTCTGAGCTGTTTTAGAGACCTAGTTGATCTCTGTTTGATCTAATGCCTCAAACATTCCCCTCTGTCGGTGACAGTCAAGATTCAGCTGAGAGCAATTCATCAGTTCAGGACACATTTATTTAAAAAAACTGTAATAGAGATGTACAGTGAATATGCTTAACTGATTATGACAACTAGTTCAACCATTTTTCATGTAATGACTTATACAATGAACTAATGCCTAGATGTTTTGGGAGGTAAGACTATTCTACAGAGTACCAGTATAATACATTTTGAACAACATGGCATAAACAATTGAAAATGTAGGAATCAGCAGATGATTATATGTAATTATTTGCATGCCTGTAACTAAGCATTTGCAATTTGACCAAAAGAATGAGACTGTGCATTTATGATGTGCACAAGTGACTCAATGATGTGGAGGTTGTACAAGTAGTTATGAGAATTTTATTTCTGATCTGAGGAAAGTACCAAAGCGACCAAGAATAACTGTGAAGTATATAGCAGGGGCTGCCAGGTAACTCTGCTCATTTAAGCCCACAGGTAGGCTCACAGTTCTAGCCGGACCTCCATCATCGGCTGTGTCTCCCTAATTTCCCGGGCACCTGGGCGCCAACGGAGAATAGTACCATTCCGACAATCGGATAAAGTCTTCCTGGGCCCTATCACATGATCCCCCTCCCTCGGTCGGATCAGGTGTCCATTAGCTGCCAAGGATGTGCGTTAGACTAGCTATTTTCCGACCTTGCCACTTCCTGGATAGATGACTTTCAGGGGGCGGGTGTAGGTAGCTTAATTGGGGAAGTGAAAATGAATAAATAAAGAATAAAGATTGTCTCTCTTCTTCCACTTTCTGCATTTCAATTTGTCAAGCATTGATTATTGGGGATCTTTGAACTGGCAGCATCAGCTTATACAAGACAAAAAAAATTTGTTTTCTAGTTATGGTTAAATATGAAGGCAACACATGTACCAACAACAACATTAAGGAAAGTGGGTTTAGTTTGCATATTTTCTGCATTCTGTTAAGTTGTCTTGAAATCAATGCCTTGCGATGTTTCTACTGTCACTGTCTGGGGTGGTTGTGGTTTTGTATGTATGCGTAGTTTGCACGGTACCTCAAGGATGACGGTGCATATGAGCTTGATGCATTGAATGATGGCTTCCTGGGTCCCGGATATCGTCACCCCTCGCTCCGTAGAGTTGGGTAATAAATCTCCTGCTACCTGTACTTGTGCCCCAGTGCTCTGTGACAAGAAATGATGGAAACTCACTTCAGAAAAAACACTCTCCTAGTTAGCTGAAAGTCAATGCATATGCAATTAAGTTGCTGTGTTTTTCAACCCATATTCAAGATAATAACATGTTTTGATGAGAGATGATCACACTTGTTCTCTTAAGTTTGTTCAGTTCGTTCAGTGAAAATTTAAGTGAGGCATGTTGTACCCTTAGCTGGCTGGCCAAAGGATACAACAGCAGGATCCCAGTAGACCTTTATCGTGGTGCTTTTCATAACCTCCATGTGCCACAGCTCACCTCTCTGATCTCCTTGATTTTGGAGCCACCTTTGCCAATCAGGGAGCCGCACTGGCTGGCGGGAATGACGAGCCGGAGGGTGACGGGCGGTTTGCTGGTGACAGTGCCATTGGCGACCAGAGCTGTGAGGTCCTGAAGAACCCAAAGGGATTGACAGTGAATGAGAGCAAGCAACTAAAAACCCATTAGCCATGTACAGTATAGCGCAGAGAACGTCATTACAAAGGCTGATTAGTTGTATTTTTTTGACATTAATAATGACCCAATACGATTCAACACTAGCTGGCTTTTGCCTGAAGTTTCTACACCAGATACTCATTTTCCTCTTCCATCGGCACTATGGGTAATATGTACTCCCATCACGCACAACTACTATCAGGACCTTGGGTGTTTCCTGGAGGCCGGATTTGATCTACATCATCACCAGACACACCCTTCCAGACCAGTCCAAAGCAGCTCATATCCCTTTAAAATTAAATTTGCTCTTCAGCAGAGGGCTAGAGCTCCAGCTTAATTCCTGCTGGTGTGGCCGAGGCTGCAGATTCAGGAAGGGCTTTTTCTTTAATTAAATCTGGTAATAAATATTAGGTTCAGCCGTGTGTGGTGACTGGCGCAATCAATTAGTGAAAGTCCTGCAGCGTTTGAAATGTAAATCGCATGTGCAGACCCTCTGCCCGTACTCAGAGACTCGGCTCTGTGTAGGAGAGCAGAGCGGTCATCCCCTCAAGCCAATAAGACGTAATGAGCAAATGAATCTGTACTGGCATAACTTATATTTTGACCAATTATATTAGCTGGGCAAACTTATTTATACAGTACTTTGCAAAAGTCTTAGGCAGTCAAAGATAATGATGTTTAAATGATCTTCATGTCTTGTCTGTCAAAGAGTATTATCTTAGCCTTTTCAAAACCTCCCCTAAAGTCACCTCAGTATTTGCTGCAACCAACCAATACACCCATGTATTTTTTTATTCAAACACTTACACACCTTTTATTGGCTAATCAATACTTCATGTACTTATTTAACTTATTAAGTTAGCTGGTGGTGAAATTTAACACACACATGGAATGGCTGAGGTGCCCCTGAGGAGACGTTTAGGAACTGAAGCGGTGTTCATCTAGCCATCCAATGAGATACCAATAACTTTTTTGAGAACAGAAGAAAGATCCTGTTATTTTTTATCGTGTTAATTGTGCTACTGTTAATTAGCACGTGTTGTACAGTTGTATTTGTATTTAAATTGTAATGTGATTGAATTGTATTTGTCTTCTGAGTTTTAAACATTTTCTGTGATTGCCTACGACTTTTGCACAGTACTGTATATGTATTCCTGGAGCAGTTTAGTTGCAATACCTTGTTGGATTAACAGTTGATGATTTACAGTTGATTGTTAAGCTGACACATTTATCCTGCGGTACCGACTTTTTATTACCCTTATGTACAGGTAGATATTTTATTTCTTGGCTTGCAATTCTAGCTATAGAAGACAGAACAATTGGGACCAGAACCCTCAAATAACTTCTCTGTCTGCCACCTTTCATATAATTCTGTCCCTTTAAACATCCTGTCTCAGTCCCTTGTTGGGTTGTTTTTCTGTGCTTTTTTAACATATTTTCTTCAAAAGGGATTTGCGCTTTTCGGCTCTTCCCACTCCTTTGAGAAGTGGCACATCTCTCCTCGTCAGGATCAGAGAGCCTTACGCATCACCTACTGGATTTAATTTAAAAATATGCCTTACATCTTAATAGCTGTAAACAGCATAATCCTCTCACTTCAGTAATGCTGTGAGTATATCAGCAGAAATATTTCAGTCCGTTTTCATACTCGCAGACATAGATATTCCCTTTTAAACTCTCTATTTACTCAATCAAGAGATGAAAAAATCAATAATTAATTGGCTAGGAATGTAAATGCTGTTATTTTTCATCATCTAAAAAGGGTTTGTTTATATTTTTGGAATGACAGAGTATTAAGTCTATTAGGCAGGAATCCTTCAGGATTATTGAGCACGATGGTTTCAGAGCTCATTGACAGGACTGACACAGCTCATTCTGTCTTCCTCTTATTAAAGCACAAAATAATTAAGCGGCAGCCATGAAACACAGATCAGACTTCTGCCACAACATTTTGTTCTGGAACCAGCAGCTCTCCGATTCTGTCAGAATGGGCAATTATTTAAATGTAGCCGGACAGGCCCTCAACAAAGTCCCTCATTGATTTCAGTGGTTAAATACATGCATACACTTGGGGCAAGTGGAGCGGAATGCTGACCCCTGTGTTACTATGACAACTCTGCCCTTATGAGTTGAGAAAGGAACAGGGTTAGGAGGAAGTGGCAGGGGGGTGAGAAGGGTGCAGTGGGGCTTTGGGCCAAAGAACCATGACAGATGTTTCATGCTTAACTGTTTGCTTGTAAAACACAACCCTTCAATTTACTTAATTTGCTTTACATTGATCAGATGCTTCTTGTGGAATAACTATGATTTATTCTTTAATCTGGAGGATTTATCAACACATACAAGGGGCATCAGAAGCATTTTGAATGTGGGGGGGGGACACACTGGCATAAAACTAATATTTTATGTTAAATGTGGGGGGGGTCCAAATTAATAATTATGAAATGTGAGGGGCACACGTCCCCCTCAGATTTAATGCCGGCGACCCCCATCAATAACTGCTGTGTGGAGTAGTATGTATGATTTTCATCTGACCGTTAGTTGCATGAACCACATCTGATTTATTCACTGCTGTGCATTTGAGCACCCTGATGTGCGTGCATGTGCTCATGTATGTGCTGGAATGTCTGACTATATGACTCACATATAAGTGCATTTCTATGTGTGCAGGTGATATTTTTGGTTAGGGGCAGCAGGGGGCGTGGCCATCCATGATCTCCTCCAGTTTTAATGTGATCAGGGTGATGGTTCAGAAGATGATGTGTAAGTTTGTGTATATGTGGTGGGCGGGGCTTGGGGGCGGGGCCATCCATGACCTCCTCCAGTTTTAATGTGATCAGGGTGATGGTTCAGAAGATGATGTGTAAGTTTGTGTATATGTGGTGGGCGGGGCTTGGGGGCGGGGCCATCCATTACCTCCTCCAGTTTTAATGTGATCAGGGTGAAGGCTCTGAAGACGCACTCCGTTGGGCCCGTTATGGTGATGATGCGCTCAGGACAGGAGCCTTCGGAGATGTTGATCCGTGCGCTGCTCTGTGAGGGAGGAGAGAGCCATGAATACCATCGCGAGACACTGCTGAGCAGCAAGGAACGGGCAGGCAGGCACTACACGGAACCATTTATCATCTAGCAGAACCCAAGCGTGCCGGCACCGTGTGGCCAGGTTTTAGCCAAGAAGCTGTGTTGGGGGATCAGGTGTTATTTCTCTGATAGGTGCATCTGCACATGGGCGACGGGCTGGCAGAGAGGAACTGAAACCAGACGAGGCCTGGAACTCATCCTGACAATAATATCACCCTCGGCCTTTTCACATGTGAGCCTTATTGCTCTCCAAGGCATCTCCAGCGGCCCGTGGAGCCGGTAGGAAAATCTTTGGCTGTAACGCCAAGGATCTCACTTACAGCAATGCAACAAGGCCGTCATATACACACCCTCCCCCCGATAAGGTTTCACTAATCTCTACATTTAAACACAACCCATGCATAGGCAGCATTGGGGAGCCCTGGAGTTGCTGGCCTTACTCTTGTTGCAAATCTTCACTTTGAATCCCTACCAGATTTCTCCATGGCCTCTAATTATATTAAAGTAAAACAGGAACTGCATACTGTGAGTTGGGTTATTATGCTTCTGTAGCTGTCTTTTCTGTTGTTGCTATGTTTAGCTTCATTCCACTTTGGTCCTCCAAGAGGTTCCTCCTAAATCCTGCCATGACGATGGCATGGTGACAAATTAATGGCCACGCAGTCCCTCATACAGTATACATAGTCCCCCCCCCCCCCCCCCCCCAATCTTAGATCTCAGATGAGGAGGGTGTGAACGGCCGAATCCTTCGAGATGCGTGTTCGGAATGTTAACGGGAACATCTGTGCCTCCGACAATATTTACACTTCCCCCGATCCGTGTGGAAAAACAAGATCTGATCCAAACCTTTGTGGACCTAAAATAAGGTTAATGCCATAAATTATTACTTGAGTTACGCCCTCTAACTAGTGACATTGTGCTTTGTTCTCTGTTTATTATACAAGTGTGAGGAGTGAATAGAATAGGAAATATAGAGAGCAAACTTGCCTCCTCCCGTATTCTTTTCACAGTTTCTCCTTTCTGGGGAAGTAAATAAGAGGAAAAAAAAAACAGATGTTACATTTGCGTGAGCTTCAAACATACGTCCATTCAGAAAACTATATTAATGCAAGCGGTCTCTGCAGTCTGCAGTATATGCTGGATGAATATTAATAATATGCACAATCGGAACACGGCCTTTGTGCAAATGTGCCCCTCCGGAAAACGACTAGGACGGGATGAGCGCTGCATCCTGCCAAGTGCGCCACTCTCTGTGCCCGGCTCTGATCCGGTGGCCAGCTGAGTATGGGATGGTTTCACCAAGTAGCGTATCTACCCCACAAAACCCCCCCCCCCAAAACATCCCCACTTTCATCCCTTCCTCCTCGTTTGGGCTCCTAGCTCAGCAAAGTATGGGTGGAGGGGCAGGACACTGCCAGGGAGACTGTGAAACATGACCTCAAGCCCCCCCCCCAGGGGGTGGTATGGGGGGCGGCACGCGGGAGATAGCCCACACGCTCACGTGGACTGGCGATGCACGGCAAGGGCGAAGGGTACGTGGAGCCAGTCCCTGTCTGGTGCACTTACATTTCACATTAATTTAATGTGTCCCAATACATACTGAGCTAATGTTACATTATACTGCATGTGGGCCATAGTGAAGGGGGGGTTTAGTATCGCCCCTCCCCGCCCGGTACCTACCACCAGCTAATATCCATTATACAATTAATGACTCTGCAATCAACAGAGCACTTAGTGAATTACGGTAACCGTGGCGATGTGCGCTGGTATGATCCGCTGACTCCGCAGTCGCTGGGTACCGATTTGCAGAAGCACTCCACTGCGAAAGCTTTACTCCCTCTATCGGCACGGGAAAATAAAGATAATACTCCTGCTAGGATGGCAGCATTAATTTAGTGCTAATCCAGCCATACGAAGCCGTCCAGGGTCTGGACGTGCAGCACTGCTGCTCCCAGAGCAGTCCGCAGAAAATGCGGCCCAGAGGCACATCGGAGGGGTGGCCCTGGACAGTGGGGGGCCCGGTGTCTACGGGGGGGGGGTTTGAGTGGAAAGCCTCGTTAGTCGCTAAAGGCTAGCCGTCAGCCGGGAGGTCACGGCTTGCTGAGACCCCTCCCCCGGCTATATTTGTGCTGGGATTTCTCCAGCCGTGAAGATTCCGGGATGCTAGTTCGGATTCCTTATCGGGAATAACGCTGCCTGTTATCAGACAGCTATTTCTAACTTCATTATGTAACTTTTGGGATTGGACATTCCAGTGCAGGGGTCATCATGTGACCAGCACTCCCATTCAGCTCACCTGTTCTATATTACTTGTCGTTATATAAGCTTGAATTTGTTTTCTCCCCACCGTAAACGCACTCAGACTCCAACACCTGTCCCCCTGCACCACGTCCATAGCCCCTTCCGTGACCTGCCAAAATGAAAGGCGGCTGCCTACGTCACGTATTGGGCACTGCCATGTTGTCTCATGGTAACATGTAATCGGGACGATTGCGTTGTGTTGATTGGCTTTCGGCCAAAAAAAAACAAATGGCAGAGTGAAATTCATCGTTGTCTCCGTACAGATGTGATGATGTCGCCGCGGAGATTGAAAGCCACTCACCTTGCCTATGATGCTTCCCACCTCCTGCAAAGCAAAGAAAGTAAATGTCATCATATCGATCCCCCCGTTCCAACAGACAGTCCCAGTGGCCCTTGGGCGCAATGTGAATCCTGTCCTTATGAATGAGACCTGGGATATGTCACCTGAACCCGGTCGGCCATGAGCTACGTGCTGTTACGGTTCCTGATGTGTTGGCCGACCTTGGTGAGAGAGTCCAATCCCTACATGTTCCCCTTCTCCACACTCCCATGCCAGGGGAGTGTACTGGGGGGAGGAACAGGGGCACTGGGCTGATCGGCTTGCTCCCCTGTCACTCACCAAGTGGAAACATGCTATTGGCTAATGATAAGGTAGGTCACTCCGTATGAATTATCGCCCCTCCAATGCCCCCCACCTGCCCTGTGGCCTTACCTTGCCATGCATGAGAAGCCTCAGGGTGAGCGTCACGTTCATGCCCCCCTCCCCAAAGTCCTGCTCACAGTTCATTCTGGCGTGGGCGTCCGACGTGGGGAGACGCATGAAAGAGGCTCGTTGGCGTCGGTGTGCACTCAGGGCAAAGTGGGTCTTATCCTGTCCCCTTCACAGCTGCGTGGGACACATAGAACAGAAATACACACAGGGCCGTCGCATTAAATGCACAAGCTGCCATACTTATCACACGCCTTGCATTTACTCCTCTCTGTCGTAGCCCAATGGGACGCGGTCATAGCCCATGTGACGCGCAAAGCAAGCTTCATCACCAGTGCCCCACCACCCACTTCACCAACCAATTTCACTCTGTACTGGGGGGGGTTGGCAATGGTAAAAGTTGTCAACTTTCCACCCACGGAGTGCTAAGTTAGTGCCCTGGGCAATTGCCCATCTTCCACTTCCCAGGATCCTCCACTGCTTGTACTAATACTCTGCCCTAATTGCTACTTGTCTATTGTCATGGAGTATCCAATGGTAGCAAGCTGCGGCAACAGAAATTTCCACCGGCCTTGGTCGTGTTGCAGTGACGATTCTGATTCTAAAGCCCATGTCCACCTTTATGGGCCCTGGACTTAGCCGCTAAAGCTACCCTCCCAGGACAGGCGACGGAACCGCTTGAATCGTGTCTTTCCTTCGGCTGTTTCATCAGTTTATCAACTCTTTTTTTTTTTTCCATCTGCTTCTATACTTGAAATAGTAACATGGGATTAGAAACACTGAGTTTGGGGAGTAGCAGTTTGCTCTGTCGGCTGAGGTAATTGCAGGTTTCCTGCATGCGTCTCCACGTGTATCAAAGAGATCACGGGTTCTCAGCAGAACAGTCAGGCTGCTTCTGATCCCAGGCATGCATGAAGCTGGCAGTCACAGAAAACATTACTTATGATCTGGAGTGTACGTACATATGTTGTTCTCAGATCAGACCAGAAAAAAAGCCAATCTATCCCTCTGTCTATTTATCATCTTGTCCTTCGTGTTTGTTATTATAGGTTACCTTAAATGTCGTATCGATTGCCGAGAAGTCGCACAGCACGACATCGAAATCGGCGCCTTTGCGCATTAATTCATTTTGCCACGTCAAAACGAGGCGGCGTAATCATTTTTTAACTCAGTTAAAAGCTGGAGGGTGAATTAAATAAGCTTTTCGCATGAAAGATCCACTGCTGCATAAATACTTTGAACAATCCGCCAAGAGAGCAGCATACGCGATGCGCACAAAGCGATAAAACAAACCCAGACGGTCTCACAAGTATCTGGAGGGAGATGTTTAGACAAGGGCTCCAGCAAAATCTGGATTCTAACGATGGAGTTTCAGTCCCCATTGACAGACTAATTAAGGATTCTAGAGACATGCCTGCGCAACTACAGCCTCACTTATACAGATATTTTCCATTGATTTATGTTTACTTTTTAGCAAATGCTTTTGTCCAAAGCGATATGCAAGTGAGGATCAGAGAACAGAGTGTGCAGAGAGCAATCCCTGGAGTGATGGAGAGTAAGGGTCTTGCTCAAGGGCCCCACAGCACCATATCTAGTAGGGAAAGTGGAGAGACAAGCTATGTATAAGCAAGCAAGATGTATGGGACCCTGACCAAAGGCACCATGCCAATAGTGGGTCAGGAGGTTGATTCCACATCTCCATAATCAATATGTGTCACATTAACCAGACTGGTGGCGTATGTGATGAAAAAGCCACGTGACTCACTCAGGTTGTGGCTGATAGTGTCATTAGCCCATGCAGTGGTGAGTTCCCTCTAAATCTTACGCCCACATCAATCTGGATTCATCTGAAAGCATGGAGCTGGAGCTTTCAGCGGCAGCAGGTGGATGGACAGAACAGCGGTCTAAAGCAGGGACCACACGTCCCAGGACACCTCAATCCATCTCAGACTGATCCACAAAAAATCCACATCTCCGTGGCATCACGTTCTCCCTAATGAGGAACAAATGACAGCGGATAAATGACTTCCCTGCTTCCTGTAGCGGCGCGGCTCATGGGGCTCTGCGTAACGGATGACGGCAGCTCTGTGAGAACACTGGAGAACCTACCTTTAGCACTGAGGCTAAATACAGCCAGGGAGGCAGACATGGTTACAGACTTCATTGGCATTCATCGACAACCTACCTCTGATCTCCACATTAAAACAATAACTTCTCTCAACGCTTCTCTTGCAAATTAACCATAATAACATAATTCTCAGCCAGCTCGTCTTAATTACACGTATATGTGTCTGGCTGTAGTTATATATAATCAGTAATTAGTAAGCTTGAGCATTGATTCATGGATGTGCATTTACATGTATTGATCTAAACATGGCAATGGAGAGACATCTTCAAAAGCCACAGAAATGTTGACATAAATATGAATGAGCCAGCCAACGGCTGGCCCAGCCTGCGGATTTCATTGTGCTCATGGGGCTTGGGAAGAGAAACAAGGATCAGGAGCATCGCACATTCCTCCGGTGCAGCCAAACCTGTCTACCTGCTGCTTCGTTCACACACCATCCCCTTTTCAATTCCGTGTATCAAAGCTTCAGCGTGCTTTATAACCAAGTCCCCTTCATCCTATGCCCCTTGTTCAGGTATATGGTTGATTAGATAGATAGATAGATAGATAGATCTAGATTGGCCTTTATCAGAGATAGATAGATAGATTAGATAGATAGATAGATAGATAGATCTAGATTGGCCTTTATCAGAGATAGATAGATAGATAGATAGATAGATAGATAGATAGATCTAGATTGGCCTTTATCAGAGATAGATAGATAGATAGATAGATCTAGATTGGCCATTGTTAGTAATACAGATGCCTACTCCCATTCCTCTGAAAGTGCCGGAAAGCATCCGACTTCCCATGGTTTCCGAGAATGCTGTAATGTCAGGTGTGCAGAACGCGTCCCAGCCACTCATGACCATCAACACTCCTGCCTTCACCACCATGTGTTTTTGACCATAGTTCTGCCTTCAGAAATCCTCTCCAGTGTGACACAGCGGTGTAACACACACATCGTGTGCCCAAGACTACTGCTGAGTCCACGTCACTCTGCGATGCGCCTGTACCATCCTGATGGCCCGCAGGACACAAAACAAAATGGGACACACTAGCTACTGATGCCCCCCCCTCCGAATTCCTCCCCCCTCTTCACTTACCTGGACACTCCTTTGCACATCTATGGCTGAGAGGTAGCATTGGCCTGAGCAGTTTTTTTTTATTACAGTACAGATCTTACTATTGTCCAAGTCACTCAGCCAAATAGCAAATTAATAATTGAAAAGCTTCAGAACGCTCAGCAGTACGGGATCGGCACTAAGCCCCCCTCCCCCCCCCCCGGCTCCTTAAGTGCCGACCCCATGCCTGACTGAGTCATAGCGACTCTGGGGTCCAGACATCATTGCTACTAATGGCCTGGCCTGCATTATGGCCAAAGGAGGGCTCTGGGGGAAGTGGGCTTGGGTTACTGAGCTCACACGTGGCGTGGAGTTAAAGCCGCAGCTACGGCCTGCACCTGCTTAATGGTGGGATCCCACACTAAGTCTGCTTTTCCTTATCATCAGACCTGTTTCATATTCATCCAAAAAAAAAAAACTGCGCATGCACTGTGGACACTAAACTACCTGGTAATTATTATTTTTAAATAAAATAAACATTCTTTTCAAATATATAACATGGATCGATGTATTTAAGTATAATTAAGTAGAATTTATATGTATTTATTCCTGGTTTCCTCTTTATGTAGAAGGGGTTTTACGATTATCAGAGTGTTTCTATGTACCTGCAATTGTATTAGCATATATGGATAATAAAAATATCATATTATTATTAGCAGATTAGCCAGCAGATCATGTGGAATGATAATAATAAGTATCACCATAATAAGGCTCTTTTCTCATCATACTTATTTACTCATTTTCACCACTCACATAGAATCTTCCCTGTAGCTTCCTATCCGATTAAACGCGGGGATCAATGAATCACATTTCAGCAGATCCGCACTTCAGGTTTAAACTTCAAAGCGGTTCACTATGAAACGCACGTCTCTCGCCTCGGATAAGCCTGCCGACGGTATTGGGAACGATGATGCGCGTGTGGGTTTGTGAAAGGGGGCTCTGGGGAGGGGGGGTGCCGTCATTTGAAAGCGGGGCTCGTCAGATTTCTGTCGCTGGCTTGGTGGCTCCCCCGCGATGATGTAATGGTTTGCTCCCAGACAATGAGGAGCCGCTTAGAAGGATGTGTGTGTCCACCCAGTGTGGGGGAGGGGGGGCGGGATGACTCCCTCCTCTATTTAAAGTGGCGGCGGCGGGGCAGTAACCCGCTGTTGATCTGATGGAGCCGTGACAGGCGGGACGGCACTGGGTGGAGATGCCTCCACCCCCCCCTCCCCCATCCCCCGTGTCTGGCTCTGTCACGATGGCAGGGGGGGGGTGATCACTGTAATCACGCTGATTATAAGCGTCAGGCTACAGCCGGCAGTGCAGCTACTGTTTAAAAACGGCCGTCCTCTTGCGGGGGACATGGAACAACATCCTTGGGGGGCCCGTGCCGCCCCCCCAGGCATTTTGCATTCGCCCCCCTAATGGATGCTCATTTACAGAAAGGCAATGTTGCATGTAGTTCATCATTAGTGATTCGCCGTAATGTGCCCAAGAGCTTGTTGTTGGTGCTTTTTTGTCATAACTCCTCAAATGGATTTAAACTGCCGGTGATGCAGACACACAGTTTTGTGGTTCAGTGTTCAGTGTTACACCGTGGCAGTAAAGTGCATTTCTCCGTTCCATGCCTTTGGAGTGAATGAAACTTAATACGCTGGAACGCCTTTTAGAAAGGAATGGAGGTGCGCTGGGTCTGGCAACCAAGAAAAACTGAAACTGAAAAAGCCGAAGATGTGGAAAACTGGCCAGTGCCAGAGGTCAGAGGTCATAGGCGGCGGTTAGAGAGGTTCTCTCGGTGAGGGACGATTCAGACGCGATGACATAAGCGGCTTGGGCAACTTTGGCTGCTCGAGGGTCACATGAAGGGTGAAGATGGATTTATGCGTGGATCTGTGGACATGCTCGGGGGGGTTGGATGGGGTATGCCATCCGTGGCCTGGAGTAAACAATGTATCCAAGACAGA